TTATCATTCGTATCAGCAGCAGCATCGACACCGGCATCATCAGCATCATGAGAATCAGCATTATCACCATGATCATCGTCTTCATCACCAGCAGCGGCAGCATCATCATCAGCATCAGCATCATCATCAACATCATGATCATCGTCATCATCAGCATCTTCATCACCATCATCATCAGCATCACCATCGTCATAAGCATCATCATCACCATCATCATCACCATCAGCATCATATGCATCAGAATCACCCTGACCATCATCATCATCATCCTCATAATCACCGGCATCACCATCTGCATCACCGTCATCATCGTATTCGTCATCATCACAGTAAGAATCATCGACACCATCATCATTAGCAACATCAGCATTATCATCATCACCATCATCATCGTCCTCGCCATCGTCATCATCATCATCACCATCAGCATCAGCATCATCAACACCATTATTACGACCGTCATAATCAACATCATCATCACCAACACCATCATAATCGTCACCATCATCATCGTCGTAATCGTCATCATCACCACCACCACCACCATCATCATCATCATCAACGTGGTCTGCATCATCACCATCATCAGCATCAGCATCATGAGCATCATCAACATCAGCAGCAGCATCACTATCATCATCATCATCAGCATCAGCAGCAGCATCATTCGCATCAGTATCATCACCTTCATCATTATCATTGCCATCATCAGCATCAGCAACATCAACACCACCACGCTCAGCAGAATTATCACCATCAGCATCAGCATCGTCATCAAGATCATCATCTTCACCATCATCATCACCATCAGCATCGTCTTCTTCTTCATCATCATCATCATCGTCATCCAGATCATCAGCATCGGCATCACCACCACCACCATCATCATCGGCATCATCAGCATCATCAGCATCACCAAAATCGTCAGGATCATCATAACCTGCATCAGTTGTGATCATGAAAATCATCATCATCGTCATCATCCTCAGAATCATCAGAATCAGCATCATCATCATCATAATCAGCATCACCATCACTGTCATCATCATCATCCTCAGCATCATTACCATTATCACCACCATCACCCTGAGCATCATCATCATCACCATCGTCAGCATCATCAGCATGATCAGCATCGTCATCATCAACATCACCATCATCACCATCATCGTCTTGATGAGCATCGTCAACATCACCATGATCATCGGCGTCATCACCATCAACACCAACATCACCATCATCATCATCAGCAGTATCAGCATCATAGTCTTCATCATCAGCATCGTCTTCATCATCATCCGCATCATCACCATCAGCATCAGCATCATCACCCCCATCATCATGGCCATCATCAGCATCATCAGTATCACCACCAAAACAATCAGAATGAACGTCACATCATCATCAGCATCAGCATCATCACCACCATCATCATCATCATCAGCATCATCATCACCGTCACAATCATCATCAGCCTCATCATCATCGTCACCGTCATCATCACAATCAGCATCACCAACATCATCATCAGATCATCAGCATCATCAGAATCATCGTCACCTTCATTATCGTCGTCATCGTCATCAGCATCAGCATCAGCATTATCACCACCACAAGCATCATCGTCTTCATCATCATCATAATCACCACCACCACCATCAACAGAATCGTGACCATCATAATCGTCATAATCATCAGCATCAATCTATCATCATCATAAGAATCATCCACACCTTGATCATCATCATCAGCATCAGCATCATCATCACCGTCACCATCATCATCATCACCATCATCATCGGCATCATCAGCAGCATCATCATCATCACCATCATCGTCAGAGTCACCATCACCATCATCGTCATCAGCAGCAGCGTCGTCATCATCGCTATCATCACCATCATCGCCAGCATCACCAGCATCAGCATCAGCATCAGCATCATCATCACCATCAGCATTATCATCAGCATCATCATTATCATGATCATCCTCATCCTCATCATCATCGTCATCAGCAGCAGCATCGTCATTATCATCATCGTCAACACCACCGCCAACGACAACAACAAAAAGAACAACAGCAACAACAGTCCCAACAACAGCAAACGAACAACAACAACAACAACAACAACAATCAACAACAACAAGCAAAAACAACAGCAGCAGCAACAACAACGACAATAACAACAATGACAACAACACTATTGTCGTCGTGACCTCATTCATCACACGTGCATGCACATCTTCTTCATCATACTCATCAACAACGTAGTCGTCGTCCTCATCCTTCTTATGATCACAGTCATCATCACTGCAATGACAATCATGACTGCCATGATCACCTTCACCATTACCCCATTTAAGTGCTTCCAACGCCGCCCCCAGCGCGCCTCGCGATCACGGGCAAGGGTGCGGAAATGTTGGCCGCATCCGCTCGGGCGGACTTTCGAGTGTTAATGTAGCCCTTGTGCTTCGACCCAGGCTGGCGGCTCCTCTTGGGCTCCGGTCCCGCAGGGGCTGGTTTGAAGCTCGGGCCCGAACGTCAATCGACAAACCTTGTTAGTCGGCGGCGAGGCGGAGGCAATCCGCAGCAGCGTGGGGCGAATCGGGGCAACCGATATGTAGAAGCATCGAACAACAAGCGGGGGTGAGAAACCAGCCCTGGGGGAAGGAGCAGAGGTGTCTGGGGCCCACGCCACCACCAAAAAGGGTGGCGCCAGAAGTCTGGGGGGGGAGGGGCTCGAAACCGCGGCGTCCTCGCGAGGACGGGACGGATAATGACTCTGCAAGCGCATTCAGTCTTATTCTGGTTTCGCCTGGGAGGCTCCAAAGCCCGCAGGGGGGTCCCAACGCCCCGCGCATTCGAGTTACCCCTCTCGCGGGATCCGCTTCGATCGCGCCCATCTCGTCACCAATCGTTGCCCGTAGGGCGACTTCTGTGCATCGCCTATCGAGTCTACCTCGGCGGTCATGGCATCTCCGCCGCTTGCGAAGATATCGCCATCCGTGATGCCCTCTGCAAAACTCTGGGGTGAAAACTCCTGAAAAAGTCGAAGGTTCGCGCTCGTTCTTTCGCAGCATCAAATCCGAGACATGCGCGCCAGCTGCAGCGGCCGCAGTGGCCTCAGCGCAGCGGGTGCGCAGCGGGTGCGCAGCCGCAGCGGCCTCAGCGTCGGCCTAAGCCTGCGGTGCCCTCCCACCTTCCCTGCCCACTTCCCTACTTACTGTTTTCTCCCTCGCTCCCTCCTAGCAGCCTGGCTTTGCAGTCGGTCAGGCTTTGACGCGTCGGCCACCGCCAATGTCACTGTCGCCGTCATCTGAGTCGGCGGCCCTGACGACTGGGTGGCGGCGGCGGCGGCAGTGCCGAAACGCGCCCTTAGTCAAGCAAGGCATGATGGTGCAAACCTGGCTTGTCTGGCTGATGCTCTGGAGAGTGGGGGCTATCCTCAGGGATTGATGCAGCACGGCTCAACGATGTGATGTCAAACAAAACTGCAGGACGGGCCCCTGTCAATGTGCACTTCAAGTTTGGGGTCACTTTCAAATGTGGGCGCGCCGTGAAGCGCCTTCGGGCTAGCTCGCCCGACTCGGATTTCCGCTCGCACGGGTGCCTCCCTCACGCCTGTCATGTCTTGTATTGTCCTGCTCTCCCCGTCGGTCTTGTCTCCCCTCCCTGCTGCTACTGCTACGCCCCCGTCAGGCTTAGAGGATCTCGCATTCCTCGCAGCTTGGCTTTGAAAACCGCCAGGCTTGGACGCGTTGGCTACCGAGTCGGTAGCCCTGACAACGGGGCGGCGGCGGTAGCGGCAGTACCGAAAGGCGCCCAGGATTCCAGCAAGGCATGATGGTGCAAACCCGACTTGTCTGGCTGATGCTCGGGGGGGGGGCCTGTGCTCTGGGGAAGCTGCAGCACCGCTCAACGATTCGCTGTGAACTGAAACTGCAAGGTGGGCCCTCTCTTGTTTATTTGCCTTCAGCATTGGCTTCGGCTTTAACTGTGGGTGCGCAGTGAAGCGTACTGCATACATCGTGCCCTTGTCAGACACCCGCGAACACAATTCGACTCTTCAAACATCTGCAAAGCGGCCCTCAACCGAATCGGCTATTGGACCTTCCACCCTCCCGACTATAGACCTCGTAAACGTGACTTTTTTTCCGGCGCCAATGGCACTCATGGATGGCCCACGGTACTCACAGCAGGCTCTGGCGTCCAAGGCAGATCTGCACTGCGATTATCAAAAGGCAGCATTGGCCATGCTGGCTATGTTATTTACACTGCGGTCCAGCCCTGTGCCTTGCAAATGGCTGATGGCGAGCAAAGACAACATTTCGTGAAGCATGTCGACCATCGCCAAGCCGGCCCAGGACGACCTGAAATGTGCATGACCACTGTGGCTGCCACGCCTGGGGAGGGCTGCCCGACTGGAGCAGCCTGCGCAAAATATCGGCCTCGGGCATTCCCGTGCGGCACGGAGCGGCAGGCCGACAAGCGGAAAAACGGCCAGAGGAGCTGACGAGGCCAGGCGCACTGATCTGCAGCTGAGAGGGCGACCCCGAGATCCGGGCGATGCAACGCTGCTCGCTCTGGGCGCTCTCGCCCTGTTTCGGGCCTGGGGGGCCCTTGCAAACCGATCCCGCTCGCAAGAATGCAGCAGGAGGATGGGGTCTACGTCTCTCCGCGAAATCAAGCGCAGGTTCTGTCCCGCGACGTGGCGGTGTCCAGAAACGCCAAAATTCTACAGTCGCGCCAAAACAAGCGACTGCAATGTGCTGGTTGAACCCGCGGGCCACGTAGTGCGCGTCGCTGAGCGTTGAAACCGAGGCGCGAAGGGGGTTTGATAAGAACTTGCGTTTGACTTCGCGGGGGGTTGTCGAGCTCGGGTCGTGACTCTTCACGATCTTGCATTTTTTCGCGACGTCGGATCTCAGAGGAGGGCCAGGTGTACAAAGCTTCTAAAAGAAAAAAAAAAAAAGCTGCCTGCTGCCTCTCTCGACGTCCGTCACCAACTCCTGCGGCCCTTTAAATTAACACGGAGGTGCGCTGTCGAATCCGCCAGCCTATTCCTGGCCACAGCCCTGCGGTACAATCATCGCGCAGAGTAAGGATGCACGATAAGTATGCAAGGGCCTTGAAAGATCATGTCGACACACTTCTCGGAGCGGGGCGTGGCCAGCGAAAGTTACCAAGCATGGGCCGAACGGGCAAGGATGCCAGGGTAACCTTGGAACTTTGCGCTTTCTTGCTGTGGAGTCAGGAGAATACGGGCCTTCAGGCCAGACAATCCCTTGACTTGACTGAGGCCCCGACTCGCCGATGAAGGCAGTCGAATTCCTATGTTACGCTTATCCGCCGACCTCCACTTTCCGGGGGTGAGAAGGCGTGTGAGATGATCGGCCGTCCCCCTCCCATCTGCCCCCTCCCCCAGAGTCAAAAATCTCGTTTGAGAGGGGGGGGTCCGGGCTCGCCAGCGCACCCCCCAGAGACGCCGGAGTCTCCACATCTGCCTTCCTTGGCATCAAAGACGTTCTGAGACGGCCCCGAATCGCAGAGGCCCAGAAGCCACAAAACGCTGTCGCGACGCCCCAAGAACCTTCCCAACAGGGCCCGACATGCACAAATCAATGATTTCCCTTCGCCTTGTCCGTTTTGTATGGAGAGATCGCCTTCCCGAATTTCCGATGCCCCAACACGGCCCAAAAGGCCCCGCAGTCCGCCCCACAACTGCCCAGGAGGCCCCTGACAGGGCCCCACAAGGTTCCAAGACGACCCACAGAGGGGCCCACGACGGCCAAAAATCTGCTCAAAGCTCTCAAGCGTCCGAAAACGACCTTCGACAAGCCCCCAGAGGCCCCCAGAAGGCCCAAAAGAGGCCCCCAAACGGGGCCCAGGACGCTCCAAAACTGCCTCCAACAGGCCCCACCAGGCCCCCAAACAGCCCCCAGGAAACCCACAAGACTACACGAAGAATGCCCAAGAAAACCACGAGGCCTCAACGGTGGACCCCCCGCCTCTTTTAGGGGTCGGCGGAACGGCGTCAGCCTCTTCAACAAGTTACCGCCGAGCTGCAAGAATGCTGCAACGGGCGGCCCTTCATTCCTGCCCTCAGCGTCTTTTTTTTTTTTCTTATTATTCTTCGTATTATTATTCTTATTATTATTATTAGTCTTCTTATTATTTTTCTTATTATTCTTATTATTATTCTTCTTCTTCTTCCTCTTCCTCCTCCTCCATTCCTTTTCCTTACAAATAACTCCTCCCTGCTGCACCCGGAGGCCGGTCGAAAGGGCGGGCCAGGTGTTTCGCCTGAGGGTTCCTCACCATTTATGGCCCTGAAGCTTAACAGCTGACAGCAGGTTCACAAATGGAGGGCGGATGGGTTTCAAAATGTGGCTCTCGACTTACCGCCGCGCACACTCGTCTTAACAAATTGCAATGGTTTTACCTATTGAGGGCGGGTCGTTTTCAAAATGTGGCTCTTGCCTCGGCGCCACGCGCATTCGTTCTAAATACTGCCAGAGTCTCACGGATTGAGGGAGTGCCGTTTTCACAATGTGGTTTTTGGCGGTCGAGAGAGATGAGAGAAGTCAAACATGCACCCATCGGAATCCACAAGCCGACGCAAATCCACAATCATGCGAAAAAAAATTAGTGACTAAGCAATTACGCGCTTTAGCCTCCTCCGCGCGGGCATCCGCCCTTCGCTCGAGGTCGCCGCCCCTGGGCGCACCGTTTAGAGCTGCCGAGAGCTTCGCGCCAAGCGCGTCGAAGTCCCGCCATCAGCGAACGTCGCCCCCAACCCGAAGCCACCTGAAGGCCGCTCCAGGCCATCATCCCAGAGCCCGGCGACGAGCCCACCGTCTTGCAAACGTCACGCATCCACTGTCGCAAGCGAAGGACTGACGGTAGAGGCCGAAACGTAAGGCGACCTGCTTTTTCATATCATTGTGATTTTCCATTGACATCGTGACGGAGTGACGGCCGTTCCATGAGTCCGCACCACCACCCAGTCGCTCGATCTCGGACGGTGGCAGAACATCTGGCAATTTAAGCAGGGCTTCAGGGGCCGGCGCCCACAGCTCCTGGTATGTCACGTGCTTATTGATGAGGGGTAATTGGTGGTTCGCGCCGCCGGAGGGTCGGCCTCAATTCAGGATGCGGTTGCGGCGGCGGCAACCCGTTGACGACTGCAACATATTAGCCTTCACCACTGTCCCGAGCGCGGGTTTCCCCCGTCGCAACGGCGTCGGGCTTCCCCGTCGCAGTAGTGCCCGGTTCCCCCGTCGCAGTAGGCGTCGGGTTTCCCCGTCGCAGTGGCGTCGGATTGCTCTAACGCCTGCTGAGGAACAGCTTCAAGTGTCGGTGGGCGCGCGTCCCCAACTACCCGCCAATCGGCAAGCTCACGGGCCGCCGGTGGCGATGGGCAGGCATTCTTGTGGCCAAATGAGCGCCCGCCCCTCCGGACACGACTGCCTGGCCATAGCGGCCGTCTGGATGGAGGCCTCGTGGCGGTGATCGTTTACCGCGCGCGTTAATTTGTCACCGTAATACTGATTCGGCCAATTTCACATGCTGCATCATTGCGAATCCTGTCCGCATTGGCTACGCGTAGATCGCTATAGTCGCTGAGACTGACGCTTACTCTTTCCCGCCCTTCAGCTCTGTCTGAGAGCGTTTGCATTCTTTCCCTGCAGCTCTACGAGGAGGGTTACGTCGCCACGTGGACCACCGTCCATCTGTGCTATCAGTCTATATTGGAAGAAGGCAGCCGTTGCAAGCATCTCTGAACCTTGGGTGCGGTCTCGGATGCGCCACGCCGGACCTTCGCCAAGGCTGCCACAGCATGCCCAAGTTGCTGACTTAACTCATTGTTTTGATGCTCCAGCTTGGCCACTCGAGCTTCGAGTGTTCAATGCTTGTGGACGGCGTGCTCACTGGCACTGATTCGCCCCAGGATGTTGGTAACCCCTTTGTTGAATTGCTCGCTGGTCGGAGCGGCGGGCATGCGCAGTAGCTGCAGTCAGCTTGCCAAGGATCTCCAGAGCACGGTGGTCCACACTTTGGGCATCCTACGCTTTAGAGGCGTTCGCGAACTCTGCGAAGGCAGTCCGCAAGCTGATAAGATCAGTTTCTTGTGGTTGTTCGCCCAGTGTGCCTTACTCAAACAAGGCCCGCTGCTGCACTTCACCCATCTGCTGGCTCAGGGTCTGGAACACCCAGGCAGTTGAGATCGAGATTGTTCTTTTTACAGCGGCTGCTTGGGACCAACCTCGTCGCCCCGCCTGCGGTCTCGTCACCTGCTGCTCGATCATTCGAGGTGGCACTTGTTGCACCTGATCGAAAAGGGCGAGCGGCGCGGCCTAAGGCTCTCCGATGCCGTTGCAACCGGGACCCCATACCCGCGCTCAGCGGAAGTGGGATACGGAGCAAACCTTCTTTCATCTGGCCCCATGCGGAAGCTTGCCGTGCCACCGTCGAGTGCCCCCAACACACCAGCGTCAGGCTGCCCCAACGCAATCGCGGTTTCTCGGGCTCTCGATGGACGATCTTGACACTTATGCAAGGCACGGTCGGCAGGTACGACTAAACCGTACCCCGATGGTTGCTGTCTTGCGGCTTGTCCTGAAACCTCCGACCCAAAGGCTTCGTCGGCGATGACGGTCTCCAGCGAAGCTTCTAGCTCGCCTGAACCAGCCATCCTGACTGCAACGCTGCGCGCTGCCTCGGCTTCTGGCCTGGCGTTGGGGATGCGAGGGCTCTTGGGCCACACGCACCCCAGGGTTCGCTGACGCCCCGGCTCGCCTGGGGAGGCAGCCCGGATAGCAGCCCGGATCCTGTGCTGAACTTGTTGCATGCTCATTCTGGGGACCTCCCTGGAGCCACTCGCTCCACTCGTGCGTCGAAGCTGCGTCGAACCTGAGTCGAACCTGCGTCGAACCTGAGTCGAACCTGAGTCGAACCTGCGTCGAACCTGAGTTGAACCTGAGTCGAACCTGAGTCGAACTTGAATCGAACCTGAGTCGAACAGATCCGTTAGCTGGGCCCCAGGAAGGTCCCCAAAACGAGCATCGAAAACTTGGGCGTGTGGCAGCACTTGAAGCACGGCACGCCGGCACGACCCCGCGCGCGCGCGGCGCACGGGGGGCGCGCACCCTGCCGGGCACCGTCGAGCCGCACGAGGCACTGCGGCGGGCGGCCCGCCGTTCCCGCACAAGGAGGAGGAGGGAACGCAGGAGGAGGAGGAGGAGGAGGAGGAGGAGGATGGAGGCAGGAGGAGGAGGAGGAGGCAGGAGGAGGAGGAGGAGGAGGAGGAGGCAGGAGGAGGAGGAGGAGGCAGGAGGAGGAGGCAGGAGGAGGAGGAGCAGGAGGAGGAGGAGAAGAAGGGAGAGGAGGAGGAGGAGGAGGAGGAGGAGGAGCAGGAGGAGGAGAGAGGAGCGGACGGGAAGCCCGCCCAAGAAAGATCCGAGAGCCCCCGAAACCCACGCGAGGTTGCTGCTGGAAGTACAATGCGCCGACGACGGGGGCAAAGCACATTGACTGCATCGCTCATCTTCATCCTCCCCCTCATCTCCTACATCTCCTTCCTCAACCCCTCCTCCTCCTACTCCTCCTCCTCCTCCTCCTCCTCCAACAGATCTCCTCTCTGTCGCCTCACCAGGCGTGCCCGCAGACCAAGCTGGGCGTTTACCTTGAAACTTCCTCACAGGTTCCTCGCAACTTCCTCACAGCAGCTGCAAGAAAGGGGGCGGCCTATTAAAATGAAAATCTCGCCTTACCGCTGCGCACATCCTATCCCAAAGCATCCAACAATTACAAGAATGAGTGGTGGTGGGAGGGGTAAGGGGGGGAACGCGGCTCCGGATCTCGAGGGCTTCTTCGCAACGATTGGCGGCGCGCAAAAGGGGCTAGGGGGTGGGGTGGAAGGCTTTTGAAAATGAGGCTGTTTCCTAGAAGGCGCCAGCCGTAGATCTACCGACCAGGCCCGCGCCTTCTAAGAAGTAGGGGAGCTTTCAAAAAGCCTACCCCCCGCCCCCCACCACCCTCTCCGTATGGCCGAATCTGGCCGACTCCGCAAACCCAGACCCCCGACGTCATGATTATTTCCCAACGTCGACCCCCACAGGTCTGGACCCCTTCCCCAGGACCAGTTTTTCATCCGGAATCGTTTTTTGACGGTCCCGAAGCCTGGTAAGGGCCCGCGGAAGCCGAAAAAAACAAAAAACTTCCCGTCGCGATTTGTTCACAACGCGAGGGGTGCTTCTAAGAAGCCTACCCTCCCCCCTTACCCCCCTCTGCGCGTGGTACAGGGGCGGGACTCCCGTGGCAGCTGGCAGCACCCTAATCTCTTTGGCCCGCCGCGCGGTCGGCCGCGTCTACGCCTACTTCGGCGGCAACTCATGGGAGCCTCCCATACCGTCTTGTCGGCTCTTGCGAATCGACACTAATCGACGCTAGTCGAGGCTAATCGATACTGAATCGACGCTAAATCGACGCTAATAAATCGACGCTAGTCGACGCTAACCGACGCTAAATCGGCGCTATTTCATCGACTCCCAGACGCTAGTCGACGATAGTCGGCAGACGGAATCCAAAGGGTATACCAGGCTCCCACGATTCGCTTCCGCAGCCTACTCTTCGAGCAGGAGGTCGACTACAGAATCGATGTGCCCCGAAACTGCTGCCCCGTCGAATCTACGAAGGATGCGCCGGCTGCTCCGTAGATCTACGGAGCACTCCGCGCACGCTTCGTAGATTCGACGAGCACATCACTGTCGAGGCCTAAATCGGCTCTGTGGTCGATCTCCCGCTCGAGCTCGGGCCCCGCCGTTAGGCGGCCGGACACAGAGTGCTCGGCGCGGCCAGGGCCGCCCTCGCGAGCTGGGACTCGTGGAAGCTGCTCTCGGTCGTGCCGTCCAGCGAGGGCACGACCTTTAGAAGCGGATTCTGGAAGGAAAATGAAAAATAATCAAAATGATCAAAAATGTTCAAAAAGTTATCGAGAGATCGTTGCCGCACTATGTTTTTACTATTCTTTACTGGTGCTGCAGCAGCGAAGCTCGACGGCTGCGGGCGACGCACACGCCAATCTTGGGACGGGTGCCGAAGAAGAGTGCGATTAAGCAGATGGGCGACGAACGGAAATTTTCTGGTCGTCGCACACGTGATTATTATTAGCAATGTTGTAATGACAGCAGGACACAGTCACCGACGAGCCGCAAAGGACTACAACCCTGAAGGAGATCGCGCACCGATCCCGCTGTAATTACATCGCGCAGGGTACAAGAGAATCCCTAGGAAACCACAGCACGTGACCGGGCACCGCGCACAAAGAACCTCTGCGCGCCCCCACTAGATGTCAAGGGACGCGCCCAGCGGGCACAGCCTGGAGGCAATCTCACGGCCCCAACTCGCCCGGATAATATCGGCACAGTCAAGGCTGCGCGCAACACGAAAGCAATTGTAACACAAGCAGTGGACGACCCCAGACTACCTACCGCCCCACCCAATGGCACGGTGTCTCTCTCCCGAGAAAATGGTCTTACGCGAGATGGCATAGCGAGGCTCACTACATCGGAAATGAAAGCGCTTAAGCGCGACCTTGCGCGGGCAACTTGCGCGCCAGTGTCGGAGAAGGCAACCCCGTCTTCTGCGTCGCTCATATGGCACAGTCAAAATGAAAAGCTGCTTGCCTGGCCCGAACCTGTGCAGTGGCCCTCTGCCGGATGCGACGGCACTCGCAAACTGTTTGGGGACTGATCCCACGTTTCCCACGCGCTGCATGACCATCACAGTCAGCTGGTGCCCAATCCGCCCACCCTAGAGACGTGCGCGGGATCCTTCTCTACCTGGTACTTTTCGTTCCCATTCAACAATTCTCGGCCCCGACCCACCCGCACCTTCCACCTGGTCACCACCACGTCTCGGCCATTCCCCACCAGGTCACCGACTCGCCTCAGCATCCCCAACCCTCTGAATCCTGCCCTTAGAAGCGCCCACCCGACAATTTCCGGTCCGGAACCCACCTCGACCCCCCATCTCGCCTCCGCCACCTCACCACTTCGCGTCGGCATCCCCACTTCTGTGGATGTCGACGCGAAGTTGCGAGGTGGCGGAGGCGGAGGAGGAGGAGGAGGAGGAGGAGACCTTGAACTTGACCATCCCTGGGCGAAGAAAGCGCGCGTCTCGTCGACCTTGCATCGCTGGGCGGCAACTCTGGACAGGGCTGCATCTATGTTACTCGCTGGCACTGGCGGGATGCACACGGGCCCCTCTGCAAGCCAACAGGGAGATCACAGGCCGCAGAGGTGGCAGCCCATCAGCCTCGCCAGGGAGGACGAGTTGGCCTTCGGCAAGGCTCTAACCTCGCTGGCCCAGAGGGCCAAGAAGTTAAGGCACAGCACGAGAGCGCCCATTCTCCCTCCCGCTTTTTGGGGGGCGGCTGCGCCCCCCCTTGCCTCTTCCGCGCCCCATGGGGCGCGGTTGAATTTTCGCTACTGGGACCACACGGCCCTGGGAGTCCGAGAAAGCTCCAGACAGGAGGAAGGAGGAAGAGAGGCTCGAGAAAACGGCTTCGCCCCTAAGGACTCCACGATCCAAGAGACTCCGCAAGCGCTCAGAATTCCCAACACTCGCGATCCTGTGCTGCTCTACTGGCCCGAACCTCCGTCCAATGTGTTCAAGAGCGCCCCGGCGCCCCTCTCCAAGACTCCCCGAGGCGCCGCTCCTATAGTGATCCCCCCCCTCCATTCCCGATGATCTGATAGCGAAGCACCTGATCGAATCGGCCCCCGAGCTCCGACGCCGCCATCGCCCACTGGAGGCGCACTCTGCCCTCCACGCGCTTGCTCTTCTTCGACCCCTTGCCCTGCGGCACGCGCACCCTGAAGTAGCGCGCCCCCCTGGCCATCTCGGCCAACTCCTTCTTCATGATGACCTCCTTCCAGTACTCCATCAGCACATTGCGGCCCCCGCCCTCCTCGGCGTTTGCCAGCTGCGCTCCGATGAAATCCTTCCGCGCGCGTAGATGCGGAGAGCACAGCCTGGCCGCGTCCACGGAGTCGCCCTCCTTCGCGTCCTCCCGCAGCTTCATCGCCGCCGCGCGGTAGCCCTCGCCAGCCTGGACCGCCGCCTTGACGCTCGGGCGCCCGAGCGGGTCTGCTTGGCGGCTGCGCCATCGACCTCCGTGGACACCCGCCCGCTGGTCTTCGCGAAGCCCCACTCCACGCCCATGATGCCAGCATCCTGCATCCACTGCGGGTTGGCCCCCTCGGAGAGCCCGAGAGTTCAGCGCCTGCGCCCCGCCAGCACTAGTTCCAGGAGCCGAGGAGGCGAATTTACACGACTCACAAGCGGAGGAGGAGGCGCAGCTCTATGATCCACACACGTGCAACTTGGAGGTGGACGGGAAAAGGCGCGGGGGGACATTTCGCACTACGAGGGCGTTACGCACGCAGGTGCGGCACGTTCACAGCATCGGTGCGTTCGACAACATGACGAGCGAGTGCATTGCGTGCCAGGACGGCTTTTGCAAGCGCGACCACGGCACGGCGCCACATCGCGCGCCCCACTCAGAGGGGATATTGCGTCAAGGATCTAGCGAGAGCCCTGGTCACTGTACATCCCCCGAAGAGCCTCGAATGCCCTGGATGCGAGTGCGTAGCTCGTTCCTGGCTCGAACTTCGCACTCACCCTGCACGTCGCTTACCCTGCGTGCCCGACTCTCCAGATCGTTTTTTTTTCTTAGCCAGGCCAAGACATGCGGGCCCGCTTCTTCCCGCAACGACTGTGCTTCTCCTGGGCAAGAAACGAGCGCGCCAACATCACGCTGATCACGTTGGGCCCAGGGATTTGCCATAGCTGTCAACCGATCGTTCTCATCAGCCGCCACATAGCCTTGACCTTTGGTGGCATCAAACAACGCCGCGAAAAAACTTTGCATGATTATACCTGTCGTCTGCCGCCATCTGCAAACCATCGCAAACGTCGCACTCAAAGTTTCACCTCCGCACGAGCAATCTTCCAGTGGGCCAATACCTCGTAATAAGTGAGCGAGCGTACTGCGCCGTCCTCGTTCCACGTCGCAGCCCCCCCCCCCCCCCCCCCCTCGCATTGCAATTCTCGCAAGGTTCGCAATCACTGCATCCAGCTTGGCATACTGTCGCACTGTTGGTAGGAAAGCCTCCACCTCCGAGCGCGCCGCATTGACCACCCATCCCAAAAGTACCGCGCGCCTCCACCTCCATGGAATACCTGCCGCGCTCCAGAAAACCCCCATTGAGTAGAAAGCCGCCTTGGCTGCGTGGATGCACCTCTCCAGCTCGATGCCCAAAAATTGCTGGCTCGTCACAATTGGCCCCAAGTATCGTGCTGCGTCCACCAGTTGTCCGTTCCAATTCTGCCGTCGGCCCCCTTCTCGTAGTTGTCGTCTAGCGATGCCGCTCCCAGAACCGTGCATCACAACAATGTTCACCTGCTTGGACTTGGTCTGCGCTGGTCCGGTCCGCGCAAGATGTGGGCCCATGATGGCATCACTATTCGCTAGTTTGTGCCGTAGTCTGTCTATGTAGGCCAGCTCCTTGCACCCAGGTCTGCGCTGCAAGATCTTCTTGTTCATGTCGCCTGCGTAGAGGTGAATGTTGAGGTCAACTTCCAGTCGAGTGATGGGGCAAGTAACAACCAAGTCCAGGTCCGCATCATCGCTGTCCCTCCAGGCATCCGTCCACGGTCGCGTGGAGCATGCGAAGGCTCGGGGGAAGCAGTGTACCATGAATGGATCCCCCATAAGGCCTCCCTCTGTCGGTCGAAATTGTAGTACACCTTCGGCTGTCGGTAGTTGTACCTGTGCGCGGCGGATACGTTGTAGTGTCAGTCGTAGATCTCCTGGTCGGACCAACTCCTCTGCCGCCTTCTCCATGCACTCCCACTTCGCCGACGGGCGCGCGTTAGTCATGTCCTTGAGGCTGCCGATGTAGGAGCATTGCACCTGCTTGAGTCTATAACCAACAGCCATCGAAGCAATGATAGCTGTCTGTCTGCGTCGGCCTTGTGCGTATCCTTGATGTTCAGGTGGGAGTTCCTCTGGTCGTCGTGCTCGGATGCAGCTGGCGAGAAAAAAACTTGCCAATGACTCTGAGGAGGTGGAGCAGCCGTCGTCCAGTCGGTCCGTGTGCGTGGTTCTTCCTTGCGGGGTAGCATTCACTGATGTGCCAGCTGGCTGGCGCGAGCTGGTGGTAGCGCAAGCCGAAAAAAAGCCAGGTGGAGGCACGCCTCTATGTAACTGTTGTTGGAGTCCTCCGTGTCATAGCCCACGCCTTTGTTGTGCGTGTCACGCTGGGGGTGTAGAATCATCCAAAACAGCTCCAAGTGAGGTGAATGTGCTGGGCAGGCTCTGCGCTGTGGTGTTCTGCGCAAATACTATCGTAGCCGCTTGATGTCCCGCTCGCTCTCGTAGTAGGCACCCATAGCGTGTTCGTCGTCGAATTATGGTGGTTGGTCGGGCTCGGGCATGAAATCCCACGGGTTGGGAGTTCGGGGAAGCTCATCTGGTAGTTCATCACATTCGAGCTGCAGCCCTTGTCGTTGTGGGTGAAGCGTGACTTCGCCAGCACCCATGCCGCCTTGGTGTCCGTGCTTCATGAATACCTCCATACATTCGATCTTCGTCGGATGTGCTAAGGGTAGCGCTCGAAGGTCCCGTCGTGTGGTACCCTGCCTCGTATTGCCCAACCTGATCGTCATACGGGATGCCTACGCAAATCGTCGATGCTGCCAATGGCCCTGTATCTCCTGCGAGATCGCTTCCCGAATCTGAAGCCGTGCCCATTGTCGTACCTGCGCACGCTGTCAGGAAATATAGCGTAGCTGTTGTTCCACATGGGCCTTCGTAAAAGCAGTAGCCCGCGTAGCCTCCCGCAGGTCCCGTCACTGCTGTAGTAAAGCAACTCACGCATGTCGCAGGTATGCGTAGTACGGTTTAACGTATTGGGGCTCCAGGAAATGATGAGTACCACATTGAACCATCTGCTTCTCAAGATAGTCAAAGATAGCGTCTGGTGTCGGTTGTTAACAAGGGATACGTCGACCCCTATCCCAGGCTTCGTGGGGTTTCCGAATGGACCAGAAATTTGGGGCCCAACCCTGGGATATACGATGGGGGGATGCCCATCCTCGATAGGGGTGCGTCCGAATAGCCCCCTTGGGGTGTATCCCAGGGTTTTTCCATTTTTCTGAGCGGCCAAACTTTTTGGGCGAAACTCGGGGATTGGGGGAGAAACATCGCCTGCGAGTTGTAGCCCCAGCTGTACCCATTCCTGCATGGTGTCCCTGAGGTTGCGGAGACCCCCACCCTGCAATTTTCGGCTCGGATCCCACCCTGACCCCCAACTCTTCTCGCATCCCCACCCCCCTCTAGATCCTGTTCGTGGGGGCCCACCCGACAATTTCCGACCCAAGACTTACCCCGACCCAAAGCCTGACACCCACTGCGTCTGGCATCCTCACCTCCACTGGATCCTGTTCTCGGAGCCCCCCACCAGACAATTTTCTACTCCAGACCTTCCCCGACCCCCGCCCTGACCCCCACCGCGTCTGGCATTCCCCACTCCCCCTGGATCCTGCTCCCGGAGCCCCCACACACAAGACATGTTTGGCCCAAGACCTACCCCGATCCCCGGAATCCCACCCCCGTGGATCCTGTTCTTGGAGCCCCCCACCTGACAATTTATGATCCAAGCCCGACCCCGACCCCTCACCCTGACCCCCACCGCGTCTTGCAGCCCCCCCTCCTGGATCCTGATCGTGGAGCCCCTCACCAGACAATTTCGGCCCCAAGACCTCCCCCGACCCCCACCCTGACTCCCACCGAGTCCCCTCCCCCCCCTGGATCCTGTTCTTGGAGCCCCCCACCCACCAATGTTTAACCCAAGACCTCCCCCGACTGACCCGTACCGCTTCTCGCACACCCACCCACCCCCTGGATCCTTTTCCCCGAGCCCCCCCGCGCGACAAACTTAGGCCCAAGATCTACACTGATCCCCACCCTGACTCCCATCGCGCCTGGCATTCGGAGCCCCCACCTGGCAATCTTCGGCCCAAGACCTAAATCCAACCCCCGCCCTGACCCCCACAACGTTTGTAATCCCCACCGCCCCATGGATCCTGCTTGTGGAGCCCCCCACTCGATAAGTTTCCGCTGAAAACTCCCGACCACCACCCTGACCCCCATTGCGCCTGGCATCCCCGCCTCCCTTGGATCCTCTTCTCCGAGCCCCCACCCAGCGATTATCGCCCCAAGACTTACCCTGACCCCCACCGCGTCTGGCATCCCTCCATGGGTCTTGTTGTTGGGCCCGCTTTAAACAATACTTCTCTGCTATCTACCCCAACCTCAACTCCCACCCCCCCGCGTCTGGCATCCCGCACTCCCCCATGGATCCTGTTCTTGGAGCCCCCCACCTGACAATTTATGACCCAAGCCCGACCCCGACCCCTCACCCTGACCCCCACCGCGTCTGGCATTACCATACCCCTTGGACCATGTTCGTGGAGCTCCCCACCCGACAAGTTTCGGCCCAAGATGACCTCCCACGACCCCCACACCGACCCCCACCGCGTCTGGCATCCCCACCTCCCTGGGCCCTGTTCGTGGAGCCCCCCACCCGACAATGTTCGGCCCAAGACATACCCCGCCCCCCACCATGCACCCCACCGCGTCGGCCCCCCCCCTGGATCATGTTCTTGGAGCCTTGCACACAACAAATCTCGGCCCAAGACCTCGTCCAACCCTTACCCTGACCCCCACCGCGCCTGGCACCCCACCCCCCACTCGGCAATGTTCGTCCTTAACTCGCTGGTATTTCTTAATGACTAGTGTTCACCCCCTCTCCCGCACGACAGGCGACAAATCCGTGACCACAACGACCTCCCACCATCCTTTGCAAAATTACCCGAGACGTAAGTACTCAACCAACCCCTTCTTAACGAGAGCCCACTGTCCAAAAGAACGCTCCATACAACAGAGCACGTTGCAAGGACACTCTGTTCCGCTGGGCATTGCAGGAGCAGCGAGGTCCCGTTTGGATCCGCGTGGCC